TATACCCCCATTGTTGCTGTCATCCATATTTATAATTACGTAAATTTATTATTTCTAATTACGCTTGTGATCACCCATTACAAAATTAAGATACAAAATCTGTACTTCCTTTCTTAGTGGAATCGCAACGTTTTCGAATTCAATCACAGAACACTTTCTACCATTTCACAGCGACAACTGAATATCTACTGGCCAAACTTAGCTGGCTTAAAGAAGGCTGTGTGGTCAACATTTAAGAAATTATTTTGACTGATTACTGTGTTCCCTATGGAACAACTACATTTGTCCACAGTAGCCTCTAGTCCACATTGGTCCTTTCTCCCGTACGTATTTCAGAAACTGGTCTTAAAATTTAAAAAAATCAAACACTTATAATAGCCTACCATTGCAGATTATAATTTGATAAATCCACAAGAAGATGGTTCTGTATGGAATTCCAGAGAAGGCTCTTTATTAAAAAATAAATATTTATTTTAAATCATGGTGGAGCACAAAATAATAATAGCAAAAATACAGAAACTTGCGGATGTCTACTTTTTTATATTTTTGAAATGTAAAATAACATTCTATTTATATATGTAGGGTTTATACAAATTTAAATACATTGCACAACGTTAAGTCTTAGAAAAAAATGAAATCGTCTAATGGTAGTGGAAAGCGTGTGGGTGCGAGAGTTCTTGCACGAGTAAGCGGAGGGAGTAGGGAAAAACTTATGCTATGGCACAACACAAAGATCTTTTTAAGCTAACTTAAGTAAAATACCTTGAAATAAATGAACAAAAATAAAAGCACTTTATTCTACAATACTACGTAAATTAATTTAAAAAACAACCAAATTTAAAGTTATAAAACGAATAGCGCAAGTTATTCGACAACTGCCAAAGATCACAATCCAGGCGCAATCACAATCCATTAAATGTCGGCGGTGTCTGGAAGTGTGTACGTCAATGAACAGCTGTAAACTCACATTGTAAATAATACACATTTTGGTATTAAACTTAAGGTGTCCGTTCGCTAAGATATTCTATTCGTAAACATCATTTGAGCAACACATTTACATGTACCCAAGTGAAGTCTAAGCTGACTCAAATGTTTCTAATGGTAACAAATGGTATTTATTACTCAAAGGTGAAAATATTAGTTTTATTATTTTTTTACTCAGAATTTCTCTTCTTGGACTTTTTAGTATACAAATATTTTTTCAATTTTCGAACCCCACAAGCTGGCGCCCTGCCCCTCCAAATCCCACTCTGTCCCTCATAACTAATCCAGGATAGTTAAAGAATATTGCAGAGTAGGGTTGTACTTGTCCGATCCTGTATTTTCGTATGGAAAACCCTGTTCGTAAAACTTTACTTGGCTTTCTCAAGAGTAAAAACCTTTTCTAATATTTTTGTGACTAACAAGGAAAGAGAAAAACTGTCAAGGAAGGTTGCATAATAACTTCAAATGTTGTTTTTGAGGAAGTGTGAATTGATCAAGAAATATCTTTTTAATACTAAATAAACCTCTATTGAATATTTGTTTCTAACATCAATTGCATTTTTATTTTTGTGTGATTTTCTGTAAGTACGAAGTTACATTACGCATTATTTAACAAATAAACACGTTTCATTTACAACGTTCCTTCTTAATGGAAAGGATAGGGAAATGGATGGGGAAAAGGTGGGAATTAACATGCGAGAGTTCTCACACGGGTACGCTGAAGCGGCTGACTGGCGGAGGTCGCTAGTAGCATAAATGTAGCGTCACTTTAATCACGTTATCTTCAGCCCTCGTTTTGCTAGTTATTGTTGGAGAAGATCAGGAGGTGTGGGTTATTATTTTGTTAGAAACACTAAAAAGTCATGTTACTCTGAATAATTAAATTTGCTACAATTCCTATTTACATTAACCAATGACATAATATGCAATTTAACACTCCATTCAAATAACTTTAGAACAAAAAACAACAACAAAACTTGTGCAAATGCACCACATTCTCTACAACAATATCGCTGTGGCCGCAAACAACATAAATTCATATTGATCTTTTTACAGTTTCATAGTCAATAGTGCTTTTAAAATGACAAGAATCTCTGAATGATACTCAGATGCCTCCCGTGTGCTTATTTCCCTCACAATTTCCTGGTTAACAAGTTCTTCTTGGTCGCCGTGACTTTGACCCAATTTTCAGCGATTTCGCTTCCGCTGCTGAGTCCTCCGTGCTCCACAGCCGTACCTTGATGCGCCTCGGCCTCCACGCAGCCGATCGCGGGCCCCGGGTCGACGATGACTTCTCGCTGCCCTCTTGATTCGTCTTCCGCCTCGCCTCCTACGTCGTCTTCTGCGTCCTACGTCGCCTTCTGCGTCTTCTTCTCCCGGCTCCTTTCGTCCTCGCCTGCTTCGTCCCCCTCGATATTCCTGATTAGGCCCGCGTCCCTTGCAATGCACTGAAGAACTTGGGCGTATTTCGTGCGTGCGCTTAGCTCTCGCTCGCACTGCCCCAAATTTCGCCGCTGATTGAAATTTACTCGATCTCAGCACGAACTATTTATCTATTGTACTGTCATCAGCTCCACAATAACTGATAGACTAGATTCACTCCCCGCGTCTTGTTTGAAGAAATATTTTCTCCCAAAAGTTATAACAAAGTTCGCGGACGGTTATTTAGGCGTCTGCTCGACGTCCAACACTGCTACCTAGAAACTCGGCGAAGTTGTTGCTGGATCGGCGGCCAAGAACTGAAGAGAGTACTGCTGTCTCGAAGATCAGGAACAAAAGAGAAAGACTGACCGTGGCCTCATCTATTTATGCACGCGCTCTCCGTGTAGGGTTAGTACGCGTCATCTCCCCCTCTCCAGTCTGACTGCCTTTTCGTTATATTATTGCGCCGTGCTGAGGACATAGGGCGCAACAGTATTGTAGGCTGCGGGCTCGCCCCTTTCAAACCGCGTCGCGTTCGCTTTTTGAAAAAAAAACAAAAAACAAAAGAATGGAGTAATCTGAAGATTTTGACCAATCTTATTTTTGTTATTTTTTAATATTGCATGCAATATTACGCGAAAACTACTAAAATTTTGAGTATATATATATATATATATATATATATATATATATATATATATATATATATATATATATATATATATATATTTGTAGTTGTAGGAAGACACCGAAAAAATTTAACCTTTTGAGATTTTCGAAAATTCTGAATTAACCCTGAAAATATGCCACCTTTATAAGTAATTTTTATTTTATTCTTATATTAAATTTTAAAGAAAAAATGGAGCTGTTTTTGAGAAAATTTTGAAAATGTTTCGGCCTTCATATGAAATATGCCGAAATTTTAAAGAATGTTTTTCTAAATCTCAAAGCTTTGACTCGAGACAGATCGACAGGGGTTTCTTCAATTTGAAAAAAAAAATCCTATGTATGGTTTAGACGCTATTGGTGTTTACAGACGGCCGGATAGACGAATGTTTTACCATCAATCGATTTTGGGTTTCAAGAACCCATAAAAAAGGGATTCTAGGTACACCATGTGTTGGAGCTTTTTTTCTTAATTTAGAAATTGGATTTATCTACTTTTTTGTTGTCAGGACCCGGCAATGAATTTTTCGTACCGAAAATCCGTGTTTTTATTTTCGCGCATTACATACGTTTTTTTATACAACTTTTATTACCTCGTATATACGTACGTACATGAGAAAGTGAGATGTAAAAATAAATTCTATATCAAAACATTTTGTGTTCATTTTATTGTGTTATATATTAAAATTAATTATAATTAAAATCAGAATAAGTTTGGGTGACAATTTTTAAGTGAAGGGAGCAGGGGCGGATTCAGCCGATCATTTTGGTGGGAGACATCGAAGATTTTTATTAAATGATAAACATGTTATTATATTGTATATTATATTTGTAATGTATATATGATACTATCCAATATTACATTTTAAATCATTTCATAATTCTAACTTAAATAAATATTTCAATCAATTTGGCCAAATAAAAGAAGAGATCAAACGAAAACTCTAGGTCTGAGGAAGGGGGGACATGGCCTCATATCCCCTCTCCTGGACCCGCCACTGAAAGGAAAGGAGCATTGGCGAGAAAATTGAAGACTAATTTACATGTCGTGGAGGAATAAAAGGAATTATTTCAACAAATGTTGAAAATAGCTATCAGCATAATGTAACACTAAACTAACACCCCATTACCCCTTTGTAGAGCAGCTTAACGCTTCCTTAACCCTCCCCCCTCTTAAGCGTACGTAATTTATGGATGATCCCTTTTACACAAATTAAGTCTTGAAGCCGATGGCTTAGCTTTTACTCACATACACTATTGAAGATTCACAAAATTTTAGTGGCTCGTACATATTGTAATGTGTTTGTACAACACGTTCAGGCAAAGCAAGTAAATGACAACTTATTTATTGAGAATTATGTTCTTTAGTGGGTTGTTTATATTTTTGCAAAAATGAAAATTTTCGTACGTTTTCACGCATACATCTGAAAATGACTGTAAACTATTTAGACGTGTGAATTATGAAGATGGCTGTAACCTGTAACCTACTATCTTGAAGTAACCATCTAACTTTTCTTTCTTCAGAGCAGGAATCTACCCTTTTACTCTTTGTTCAGCGAGTACTATAATGTTACATTCCTTATTTTGGGGAACTATTGGGCATCTAATGAAGCTTACTGTCTCCCCAGGCCTCTTTTGCCCCAGTCCACTATCGGACACAACTTGGTTATCGTGAAAATGCAACTTTATTTTAGAGAACAAAGAACATCTCTCTGCGAGAAAGTGTACCTAAACAGAAAACGTTTTTAAACCATTATAGGCAGAGGAAAACCTCAAACGAAGAATGATCACGGCGTTTTAAAAGAAAATCGACGCGTCGTGTTTTATCCATAAGCCCACGGCTTCTAGCAGCCTGCCGCTTGCCACCCAGAGGCGACGGTGCTGCCCTCTTTGCTGCCCTCCGAAGTACTAAAAGTCAAATGTTTTGTGTGTTTGGCAAGCCTGTCTCAAGAACTCCCGCCTTTTGTGAATATACTGGCATTCTGCATATAAAGCAATTCAACGAGGAGTGTTAATTCATGTTTTCGTCTGGTTTTGGTTTCGGGTTTAGAGGACCTTAGGTGGATTCTATATATGTTATTGAGAAGCAAAGTGAAACGTGTGATCGGGCTGTGTAGTGAGGATATGAAAAGTATAGTGACAGTAGTATAAAAAATTGTTTATGGTGCCTCTCAACTCAATTGCCATAATTTGTTTCACATCATTGTATTCACCGGTGTTGTGAGAGCCATTCACAACACAAGTACAAAAAATTTGGAAATGACAGATGAAACAATTCTTCCCTCATTAGAAGAATGGTTAGACACAATGTCATTTTCTATGTCACCAGATCATCTGAAAAGGTAACAATGGTGTTAAATAATTTAAGTTTTTTTTTACAGAATGTAACTGCTTGTGACTGTTAAAACCTTTATGGACTTGTGTATATAAGGGAAATAATACTTTTTAATGTTGATTTTAAGAAAATATTACGATAATGATACCAAGGGAAAAATTAGGAGACCATGATTCGATCATTTAAATAATGTGTTTGTTCCTTTAAATTATCAAGTTTTATAGCCATACATATATTTCTCGAAGTTTTATCAATTTAAATGTATTTCTTGCATAGGATCTCTTGCCAAGAAAAGCTAAAGCCAATCCTTAATGCATTGATTACTTTTGTGCGTCCAAAAGAGACAGTGAGGAAGGCAAAGCATATTTTACTAACCAAGAAACAGGTGTGTATGTAAGAGAAAATTGTGTTTTTGTTTTGTTTTGCAATTTAGAAAATATTATACAGCTTATTACTGTGCGTTTCAGAAGAGCCAAGAAGCTTGTAAAGAACTTGAAGCAATGAAGAAAAGAAATAAATTGAAGGAACAATTGCGATGTAAAGAGGAAGAATTTGTTATGAAAAAAAAAGAATACACAAAACTTCTCAATGAAAATAAAAATTTATGTAAGATTTTCCATTTCTGACACTTCTGTGTTTGCAGAAAACCATTGAGATCATTTTTGTTATTCTGCAGTTATTACTTATTTTAGAGTTTTTGATATTGATATAGCTTTTTAAAGAGGTATTTCTGCTTTTTTAACAGTTTCTTATCATAAGTACAAGACAGGGTACTTAAGTAAAAGAAAGTTGTTGGAAACGGATCATGTCAGGAACAAAATCACTTCAAAATGTGATTTACAATAAAAAAGATAGAGAAAACATTTCAAAATTATTTTTTAATTTTGTTATCATTACATCGTTTACAAAATTATGAAACTACATGAACTTAATTTAGGAACAATTGCCTTCACTTTTTAGTACCCTATAAGGAAAGTAGTGTGATGAAACATGTTTTCCCTCATTTGTAACTCTCAGATATGGGGAACATGGAAAAAACACAAATTTTGTTATTATTTGTATCCTATTTATCTATCAAAACTAAGCAACCAAACTCGGACTTCAAAATCTCTTAATATTTTATTAAGATTTTTTTGTAGGATTTTTTATATAAAATAAAATTATTTTGAGAGGATATTTCTCTATAGAGTTGACAAAATATTTCTCAGATGTTTTATGGATCAGCATTTAGTCTTTTTTATATTTTAAGATTTATATTACATTTTTTGAATATGTGTAAAATTATATTTCTCAGAGGGAAAAGTTTTTTCATAGAAATGCATTAATTCTACCTTTTTGAATTTGCACATAATTTGAAAAATGATTGGAGAATGTATCACAATAAAAATTAGCACACAAAAAAATCATCCTAATTTCAGAATTAGATCAATGCTAGCTAATAAACTAAATTTTTGCTTCTAATAAATTTGAAATCAGGAATTGTGAAACTTTACGAGCTAGCCAGTAAGTTGGTTTTCCTGTAGGTGAAATAGGAATTTGAAAGTACATGAGTAATTTGTTTCTTTTGTAGTACAAGAAATTCAGTGGACACTGAGCATCTTGAATGACGAGAAAAAGAAGTTTCTTTTTCTGTTATTAAATGAAAAAGCACTGAATGACACAACAGTGCAATATCATTTGTTGAGGAAGAGTGTTCTTGAAGCGAAAGAGAAAGAAAGTAAAAAAAAGGAGAAACTTGGACCTTTGCAAGATTTCAGTGAAGTAAGAGTAAGTATTTACAGATAATTCTTTACTTATTCATGGAAATTGTAGAACATTTATGGTGATTTTCAGAAATTTGTGTGGGAAGCTATAAATATTAAGGCAACAGGATGGTTATGAAATAATTGTGAATGGGTTAGGTTCAATGTTCAAGGTACACACATTCTTACGATCGGTACAACTTGATCGTCCCTCTACATTATTCACTAAGGAAAGGTGACAGTTTTGTTTAATTGATAAGAAACCATTGACACAAAGCTCTAAAAGGGTTCTTCGGCTGTATTGAGAATACCTCCCCCCAGTCGGACACAGGTTATGACATGACACATGTTATTTTCATTCCTGATTATTCTTCTAATTTCCAAAAAAAAATTTTATGTCTGTTATTAATATAATAAAAAAAAAAGATATAACATGGTATATGTATTACATGCTAATATTAAATGATACATACCCTTTCTTTAATTGTAGACAATCACAAGGCAACAGAGAAACAGTAACCCTAATTTATTTGCACATTTGGGAGTCGATTCAAAGTGAATTTTTTATGCCCCTCGTGGCCACCTCTTCAATCCTATTCTTCCTTATAATAATCTTTCCCATTTTTCATTCATTTGTTTGTTGTCATGTTGAAATGAAGTATTGATAAACTGCAGAGTAAAAAGCCTTGAGGGCAGAGTGTCTCTAGTGACTCATATAGGCAGTGATTCTCACCTACTTCGCTTCTTCTCTCCACCCTACTGCAGAGTTGGTGAGCTGCGGGAAGAGACATTACAGTTGTAAAAGTGTCAACTTATGCCACACAATTGTCAGCTTTTTCAATTATAGTTTGGCACAGTCAAAGTGCCCTAAGTTCATAAACTGTCCATGAATAAGTGACGACACCGTGTTTAACAATGATGGCAACCTGTAGGTATGATGGGGGCTCATCAATCAATTAAATTCTTGACGTGGAGGGAAAGGACTTTTTAGAAACTGCTTGGCTTCTCAGGAGACGTTACGTCGTAGGCACAGGTATTAATGGTTTTAGCTGCCTTCCTCAGGGCGAAATGAGGAGATGGCAGAATGGTGGTCAAAACGTTGGCACCTGTGACTGAGACAGAGCGTCTTCTGAACAGCCAAGCAGCTTCTGACTCTGACCTCAGAAACCTAAGCTCACACTGGAAGGAAAATTTTTTTTAGAGGTTCAATTATTGGCACAAGTGCAAACTTGCCAATTCTTCTTAAACGATCTGTTAAAAATGTTGGTTTGTGAAACGATTTTGTTAACTGAAGTTCTGATCTGTTATAGAATTGCACAAGTGGACATCTTTTGTTATTGATACAATATTTATCATTACTCTCAATGCCTCCTTGATTGATTTTTATTAATGTATTTCTATTCCATTCTTCTGTGAGAAAAGGGACTTACCGGGTAAGATGAGAAGACAGTACTTCCAAGTGAAGTGAAATAGAAAGTTTTGAAAAAAGCTTCTGACTCAAAATACAAATTATTTGATTGGTTTCCAATACCTTTACCCTATCCTCTCCACAAAAACAACAACAACGAGGTTTTACATTTAAATTTTTAAATTTAAATCGTATTTTGATTAATAAGTCAAGAAATCTTAACTTACCTCTTTACATTCAATATCACAGTTTAGTTTCTAGAGCATACTGTACAGAAACGCTGAAACACATGACCATTCACAATCCTGTCCAATCCACCCCACCCCGCTCTGTTCTGTCGGACTCAGCCCAAAAGGATTCCAGCTTCTGAGTTGTGTGTATAATACCAGACTATCTTGAGGCTTGAATGGTAATAACACAGAATCAAGGTTGTTGCACCGTACGAACTGACGCTCACTGCCTCCTCTGCCACCCCTACACGTTATGACAGCCATGGGTATGTCTTGACTAGTGGCAAATTGCTACAACAAGAGCAGGTGTTCCCAGACTTGGGTTGCAAACAGTAGCGTAACGAAATAAGCGCGGGCCCGCCTGCAAAACTTTTATCCGGGTCTCCTTTGTAAAAGGGTATGGCAAGGGCAAGCAGTATTAGTACCTTTAATAATAAAAATATCTATTAAAATAGGCCCTCTTTTACCTGCTCGCCCACATTACGGGTCTTGCGGGTCCAAATATTACACCACTGGTTGCAAGGTAAAATAAAATCTTGTATCAACAGAATGAGATCTGTGCTAAAAAATCTTCCAACAGGAAAAACAGTGAACAAGTTAACAGTGAATGTGTTGTGCTTTTTCTATTCACTTTTGATGATTGAGAAGAGACTTTATGCAATTTTGAACTTGGTGTAAAACAACACATAACATGTCATATTAAAAAAAATTCTAATATTATTCCAAAAAACGATTGAATTCAGTGCAGAATATCTTTAAATTTCAAAAAAGCTACAGTGATACTGTTTTGAAGCTGATGTGTAGATTTCTAATGCAGTTAAAAAAATTGCTTTGTGCATTGTTTTGAATGCATGTTGCAGGAAGCAGTTTTTGAATGTCAAGAATACATTTTGAATACACGGAAGAAAAAAGAGGTGCAATTAGAAAGTATTCAAAATATTTCCAGAGAATATGGTTGTAATGGTACCAATACTGAAACTTTGGAATGGAGATATGACATTATTGAGTTTGTGTCTAAGAAATTAGGAAATATTCCTTTAAAGAGGGTATTTGAAGTTCTTTTAGAGCAGAAGCAGCAAATTATAAATTCCATTCAACATCCACCTAGCACAACCAATTCAGATGAAACAATTCAGTTTGTGCCAAGAAAAACAAATTCAGACACAGCTTTTGTAAAAAGGTAAACATTTTGAATTTTACCTCTTGTTGTTTAATTGTTGTCTATTTGAGAAGGAATGCTACTGATTTAAATGGAAATTTTTAATAGAATTTCACTGATTTAAAAAAATTATTATTATTAATTTTTCAAAAATTTACATTATTGCAGAACTTATGATAGGTTACAAGCAAAAAGTAATTTCAAAGCATTGGAAAGTAATTTCTTTCTTTCAAATTATGCAGAGCGAAATGGATTGATTGACAGCAAATCATATTCAAAAACAAAACAGTTGGTAAGTTTCTTTATTTTTATTTTTTCATTTTGATTATTTTATAGTAAATATTCATTGTATGAAATCAATATTTGTTCTGTAATTTTTCCTGAATGCTGTTGATGGGGAATTATAAGGTAGTGTATATATAAGGTGAGGAAAGAAGTTTTATTTTATTTTTTTTATTGCATTTACAAGAAAATCCTTAGTTTTCCACCTCAGAATATTCCAGGAAAAGTATATGTAGCCCCCCCCCAAAAAAAACTTTTTGGAGATTTTAGTTTTCTTGACAATAACTTTTTCAGTTGATCTTAGCACCAAAATGTGTGGTTATGCACATTTTTAATTAAATTTTCTCTGCAAATTTCCTGAACAAAAGATTTTGATATGCCAAACTATAAGAGAGCTAGAACTTTTCAAAATTTTGCTACATTTTCCAATTTTTTCTGGAGTTGCTCCAAGTTGCGAATAGACATTCTATTGTAATTTTGGGTTTCAAGGATCATTATGAGTAAGTAGTTTTTCACTATTTATGTTGTAATAAAGAACTGTCTTATGAAAGTAGTGATAGGAGTGGTTGTATACCTGCCTTCCAACAAATACTCCATTAAAAAGTTATTTATTCTAAAAAAATCTCACTGAAAATTTAATGGACTTTTGGCAATCAAATGCTTTCCCAAAATACTTTGAGTGGTAAACTAACTGTATATTAATAACAATATAAACAAAAAGAAAATAAAACCTACCCCAATTTTTTAAGATAAAATGATTTATCGTTATTGTATGTATCTGTATGAAAGGTTGATAAACAAAGAAATTTCAGGGCCGTATTAAGAGTTGATGAATTCAAAACATATTGGTTCTATAATATCAGTGAAAGTTAAGGGAAATTTTACTTTACAACATCATGCAAATTCCATTACAAAAGTAGAAGCAGTCGATCTGTGTTTTACTTGCACATGACAGTGTAAAGAACAAATAGTGTAATGAACAAGTAGTAGAAGAACTGTTACATCACTATTTAAATTCCATAGATCTTGCCGGTTTATTTTTCTGGCCTAACAATGATTTTGCATTATAAGATTGAACAGATGGTATCAATGATTTTGCGCTATCAGATTGAATAGATGGTAACAATGATTTTGCACAATCAGATTGAGGCTAGGCCAAATCTGTCGAGTTCCTAGAAGATATGAACTGATATAAGGGATTTTATGGAAAATTGTCATTTTTACTTTCCCGTGTACGTACGTAAATACGGTATATTTGTAGTATGGGGAAAGTTATGAAATGCTGCGGATTTTGAGATATCAATGCAAATACAGGTTTTGGGATCCGCAGATACCAACAGGGTGTTGTTTTTTCAAAACGTCCGTCCGTCAGTCTGGTGTCTGTGAACACTACTAGTGTCTAAACTATGCGTAGGATTTTTTCCAAATTGAAGAAACTCTTGTCCATGTGGCTCAAGACGAAACTTTGAGATTTTGAAAAACATTCTTCAAAATTTGGGGTACTTTACATGAAGCGCACCGGACATTTTCAAAATTTTCTCAAGAACGGCTCCAAATTTTTTCTTCAAGTTTCTTAATTTCCTGCTGCTTCTGCTTCTCCTTCTTTTTCTCCTTCTTCCCTTCTTCTCCTCCTTCTTCTCCTGCTTCTCCTTTTGCTTCTTTTTCTTGTCATCATTAGCTTATTTCCTAGGATCAAAAATGTACTGGTATGTATTAGTATAATTGTATATTCAAAAGATCGCATTGTAATTTTAGACATTTTGAAACTTTGCAGATGAATGAAAGTAGGATATCATTATCAAGAAATGGTGAGGATACTGCTAGCTGTCAAGTAATGGAGAATTTGAAATTGTCTGAGAGTAATCTGCTGAGTATTGAAAATCAAATTGCAGAAAAGGCAATCGAGTGCAAAAATTTAAAAATACATTTGGTGAGTATGTCCTTGATGCAATTAAAATGTATTTATTTTGCTAGCATCTGCAAGCAATTTTTACATGTTAAAAATTGGAATGGTTATTTGTCCTTAGTAAGCAAAAAACATTTCCAAGCACGTTATTAAATGTAGACTGTTTAAATGATTTGGGACACTTTTATCCATTGACTGTTCTCAAGTCTAAATGTATACTGACTTGATATTTACATATACTAAATGTATATGTAAATATCAAGTCAGTATTAATCTATCTGAAAAGAAAGAGAAGAAATTATACTTTCTAATTTTGCTGATCCGACATCAAATACAAAATTTGTTAATAGTATTGAGATCAACACACGGAGTACTTGTTAGTTAAATGTCGTGGTTGACACTAACATAGCATTAATGTCTGTTGGTAATTTAGTCCCAATGATAAGCTTTTATTTATTTAAAGTTGGTAATTGAGCTGTGTCCTTTTTGAATGTATGTAATGGGAGCCATAACTAAATTGTTTGCCTTGCTGAGACATGGTAACTGTAGTGAGTACATCTTGTTTTATTAAACCATGTGGATTGTGTGATTATAATTTTTTGTCTACAACAATATTAATTCTGAATCTAATATTTGGCATTTGTTTCTTTAGAAAAAAAATCTTACTGAAGTGTCAAGAAGATTGTCTGGTATAAAACAGTTTTGTAAAAGAATCTCCAACTCTGGCCGGCATGGCTTGCCTAAGGAGGACTGTCAACATGGGCTGCAAACAAATGAATTGTATAGTTGCATGGAAGAGCTTTGCCAGCTAGGGCCGAAGGAGATTCAGCTTTTTGCCGATTTACCCCTTATTGCTCTAGAGAAATTGACCTTGGAGAAGTTAGTACTTATATAGTATTTTTGAAATCATCGTATGTTTAGAAATATGCATTTATGCTTACTAGCGATGTGAAAAAATTTAGTATCTTTTGCATTGTTAATAAGAGAATATTGTTTTTCAATTATTTTTCTAGTGGAAAAAGTGTGCCAGTTTACGAACTTCATTCTCACTACCTCAGAGTTCTTTCTAATACTCCCAAGTTGTCCAAATCAACTTTACCTGTGATGAAAGATTCCTGTGGACTGGCACCACATTACTTGTTGCTGCATGTTTGGAATCAGTTAAGCTATCTTGGAGAACTTCAAAAAGCCCACTCCCTGATGAAACCATGTATGATATTTCCTAAGCTACCTTCAGTCCAGTGATTTAGAATTTTGTATTGTTGCCATTTCTGTCTTGAGCGAATATGTATAAGTTGTCTGATTTTTCAGTTTCTGCGACTTCTGTAAATTCAAGAGTTGAACCAGAAGATAGATCTGAAAAACTTGAGATGATACATGACAGTTTTCTTGGTATTATATCAAAGTTTGCATCTGTGTCGGATGAAATTGGGATGCTTTTAGATATTATGTAAGTAAAACATTTTATTTAAAAAATATTATTTTGCTTAATATTCTTGCAACATCTATATTGTTTTAAAGTTCAATCAGTGAGATTCCAAAAAAAACTCGAGTAGATAATTGGATTCAGTGTCATTGTTAACCACATTTAGAAATAAAGTGAGGAACGAAGATGTCAAAAGCAACATTTTATCTAACATTATGAGCCAGTGTGAGTTAAGCATTAGAATTTTAATTTTTTTCCCATACAAAGAAATGATCTTGCTCTCCAATTACATTTCCAGTTTTTATTTTGTGGTTTCATTTAGAAATCTCTTTTGTACTTGTGAGCTAATTAATGAACATAGTGTTCTGTTCTTTTTTTCCTTTTGATTGTTTATATAAACAATGTTCTTGTTCTTACTACTTGCAGGAGGCACCATCCATTGACTGATCTTGTTCCCAAGGATCTCTTTATGGAAGGCCAGCCAATTCAGTTTTATATAAATTTGTTTAACAAAACAAAGGAAAATGAAAATCATTTTTCTGGTATTACTGAAGAACATTTGGAAGAATTGTAAAATCATGAAATTTTTCCTTTTTTTCCCATTAATATTCAAAAAATGTTGCTTAGTGTTAATAAAAAAAGTATAATCTGTTAAAAGCCAAGCATGTTATTGTGCTGTAATTAAAAATTTATTTCTGTATTCAATTTGTATACAATTATAACATCAGGGGAGATATTTCTGTGAGTCGTTTCAGTGAACCATCATGTTCCTAATTATTGGTAATAAATGATTGTGGGCCTGTCTTGTCCCAAAAGGATAGATATTTGTAGAAATTGTTTGTTTAATATTTACCACTTTTGTTGAAGCCTCTATTTCCCTGGAACTTTCTATGTGTTTCCAAGAAGCAAAGTGCAACTGTACTCACTAGCATCCTTTGCTGGAATGATGCTTTTGGGTTTCTGTACTTTGATCACCATAGTCTCTCTCCAGCAAGTAGAACTACGCCATACAGCATCTCTCACACCCAAGCTTCCATCTTCTATCTTGCCAATCATCTTCTTTAATGTAACGATTTCTCATTGTCTGTTACACACCATCATACCATGATAATATCTACCTCTCTTTCTGTGCATTGGCTTCTGTCACCACCAAGTTTTTAATAGTCATCTTTCCTCTGGCATTCTTCTAAGATGCCTGTATCATTTTCACCTTCTCTTTCTCCTATTTTATCCACTGCATCCGAAATGACTCCCATTTACTGCCTTACATTTAATTTCTGATTCTTAACAACCTAGTCATCTTCCATTACTAAATCTTTTCTGATCCCTTCTACCACCATGTGGAGTCTTTTTGAAATTGGTTTTCAAGCTCCATTTTCCATATTCCTCATTTAATTTCCTTAAAATATGAGTATTCTCTTCATCCTCTGCAAATATCACTTGGTTACCTCAGTCATGAACCAAAATGCGTTGAGCTCTGATTCATGAAACTAGCAATGCAGCAGTCCTATTTTTTGAAAAAACAAATTTAAATTTACTTGAAGGGACTAAATATCTATGAATTCTAGATTTTCTTGCTTTGCATGTAATATTCAGTTTTCTTTCTGATGAGGGAGCACTCCAGAAAATTTGAAAATTACTCTTTTGCATCACCATATTATGAAAGGAATAGTAATAGAGAATTGTGAATGAAAATCATATTTGCATTTTATTTTTTGCAGAGTAATATGTCGAATATATAACAGTGTGCTTATTGATTCATTTTTTCAGATTAGGATTTATTAATTGAAAATATGAGCAGTCATTATTAATTGCCAGGCCTCCTTGCCTTCCAGTTAATAATTCCTGCTATCCTTATATGTAGTGTGAAGCATTGTTTTATGATGCATGTACATATTTTTAAAGCGCAAAATTGTAATAAAAGTAATGAATGAATACAGAGGTGTACATTCATTAAAGATGCAAAGATTCGTTTTTTTGGCAGCAAAAGTTTTAAGGGCCTGCAAAAGTTATTAGGGCCAGCAAAAGCATTAAAAAAAACCCTGAGTAAGATGGAACAAAATTGGAATCCTGTTGTTTTTATCTCAAACAGTTTTCACTGTATTTTATAAATGTCACATATCCCTCCATATTCCACGATCTAGCTGCAATCCTCAGCGATGTGTCGAGAGTAGGAATGCTATGTTGATGATATTTTCAAAATAATGATGTCCTTTTAGAAACATTTCATGTTTTATAAAACCATGAAACAATTTTGAAGTTAATGCTTATGATGAATGTTTTATTTGTGAATAAAAAAAAAACAAACCTCTACAATTTATTCACTAAAATATGAGTCAGGATTTTCTACACTAGCTAGATTGAGTTCAGTCTCTTTCTGGAGGAGAATTCTAATGGCCGGCTGCCCTGATCGGTAGTTTTCCGTGGTTTCTCCAATCAACAACAGACGAATGCCAGAGCATTGGGCCATGGATCCAGTGCTGTCTTTCATTCCTATTCGTTATATCTTCATCCCTTTCTTACACACACACACACGCACACACACACACACACACACACACACACACGCACGCACGCACCCTGTGTGGTTGCCGGGGTTTTTTGTAGAATAGCGCCACGGGACCTCCGCCTGTCGTAAAAGGCAGAAACTTCACTCTCCTATTCTCTTTCCCAGACACACTTGTGAGCTTGGCTCCCCCCAAAATCCATGGAGCCTGGCACCGACTATCGGGCGCCTTTCACCCCGATCAGAATCGGCTGCGAGATCGCGTCAACGCCTCCGACTCGCTTGGTGTAGTAATTTTGAGCTCACTCATACCCCATCACTGGATTATTTTCGGCGTGACCTTCCCTTAGCGTATTTATATGCTACCCCAGCAGAGATGGAATTGAAGAAGGAGAAGGGGATTCGTAGCGATAGGTAGCAAGATCCCATAAGCTACTCAGTCCACCTATTGGCATCTTGTGCGATGGAGAAAAACTAGGTGGCGAAAGAAAAGGATATTCAGGGGATAAGGACAGCGGACAGCTGCTCCTTTTAGTCGCCCTG